ATTTTATTTAAAAATATTTTTATTCAAGTATGGTTGGCATACAGTGTTATATTCTTTTCAGGGTACGGCATAGTGATTTGACATTTATATGCCTCACGATGTGATCACCACGATACGGCTAGTGACCATCTGTCACCATACAAAGTTATTACAATATTATTGACTATATATACATTACATCCCCGTGCCTTCTTTATTTTATAATTGGAAGTTTATACCTCTACTTCTCCTTCATCTTTTTCATCCATCTTCCCAGCTCCCTCTCCTCTGGCCATCATTAGTTTGTTCTTTGTATCTATGTGTCTGTTTCTGTTTTGTACACACACACACACGCGCGCACACACACACACACACACACACACACTACACACACAATGGATTATTCCTCAGCAATAAAAAGAATAAAATCTTGCCATTTGCAACAACGTGGGCGGACCTAGAAGACATTATGCTGAGCGAAATAAATCTAACAGAGAAAGACAAATACCACTTGATTTCACTTATTTGTGGGATCTAAAAAAACTTAAGAAGTGAACAAGGAAAACCAAATGGAAAGTCCAGATTCCTGAGCCTGGTTTACTAGCTCTTGCGTTATCTGGCCCCCGACCACTGTTCCGACATCTTTCCTTGCCCCCTTCATTGGTCAGCCAGGCTGAAACCTTCCAGTCCCTCTAAACAAGCTATGTTTGCTCACCGGTGAAAACACTTTTCCTCTAGTTTTCACCTGGCTAATGGCTACTCACACTTTAGGCTATGGCTGAGCTGTCCCCTCCTCCAGGAAGTCTTCCTAGACCCCGGAGCTCCCTCAGCTCCCCTGTCTCAGCCCAGTCACTCTGAGTTGACACTCTCTGGGGTTGGATCTCTGTCACCCACCGGGGCCGTTAAGTTCCAAGGAGGTGGGGCCCGGGGCTGTGTGACTCACAGCTGGGCATTGACAATTCAATTTCCTCATCTGTAAAATGGAGCTAATAATAGCATCCACTTTCTTGGGTTTGATGAAATAAACGGAAATGATGCATTAAAATCCTTTAGCATAATGTCTGCTACATATCAATTTCCTAAGACATGACTGCTTTCGTTATTAATCATCTTAGGGCGTTCTCTGGTACAGTTGACTCTTCTTCTAGGAAGCCCTCTTGGCTCTGCAGGCTGGATCAGGTGCTCCCTTTGGGCTTCCAGATCCCAGTCCCTGACTACCCTAGGTTGTCATTGGGGATGGATCTGTTTCTCACCCTGAACTATGAGCCCTGGGGGACTAGGTCTGTGGCTGTCTTGGTCACCTCTGGGCTCTGGTCCTGCTCAGCACAGGACTAGACGCAGACCAGGTGCTGGAGGAAGTTGTGTTGAATGAATGAATGAACTAATGACTTTAGTGATGATTTGATCTCTGATTGTTATATGCTCATTAGTCCGCTTTCTCACTCTGACATATAGGATTTTTTTTCTGTGAATACTGAAATTTAGAGAAAACTTACTCATGCAGCTGTGTGTGTGTGCGTGTGTGCGCGCGCGCGCGAGAGAGAGAAATTGAGAGAGAGAGAGAGAGATTGAGAGAGAGAGAGCGTGAGCTTGAGAGCTTGAGGAAGAGAGAGTACATGTGTTTGAAAGGGAAGAGGTTGTGAGGTGGGTGGGAAGTGAGTAGGCTGAGGACTTGGGCAAGAGAGGGCTGGCTTTTGGAGATCAATTCTGTGAACTCTGAGGGCAAAGACCATGTCTGTCTTGTGTACGGCTGTGTCTCCAGCACAGAGCCAGCCACATAGAAGGTCCACATAGAAGGTGCTCAGGAAATATTTGTCGGGTGAACCAATGAACTAGACGTCATTGCAGTAGCCCAGGCATCTTGCTGTGCCTCTATAATTGTGACTCCCAGTATACTTTAAGTAGGCTTTGTGAGGGGGTAACGTTTTTCGAAGAGGGTGTAGAGAGAATACGACACTCTGCTGAAGAGCAGCGGAAGCAAATGTGGGTCTTACTACCCCTCTCTGTTCCAAGCTGTCAGCAGACATCAATAATCGATGCGGGAAGTCCTTCCATGATCGCAGGACCTGTATCTGTCATACAGTGTGTGCTCGATAAATATTTGTTGAATGAGAGGAGTTGGGTCGAGTTATTCCAGTTAAACTCCAGCTTGGAGAAGGGTTCGTGACCGAGTCGATGCATCCATTCTGAGCCTTTGCATTTTCCTAGCAGTGTGGTTTCAGTCTCCCATTCATTCATTCATTCATTCATGCATTCAGTAAACATTTATTGAGCACACACTGTGTGACAGATACAGGTCCTGCTGTCATGGAGCTGAGAGTCTAATGGATGAGAGAACTGTTCAATAATCACGCCAGTAAACATTTAACGACACATTGTGTCATTCAGCCAGGGGACTGAATTTATCACAGTGGCCAGGAGTTCTCTCTGAGGAAATCTGCAGTTTATTTTTAGTGGGGAAGGACATCACAGTGATTCTCGGTTGTTCCAAAGGGTATGGGGCAATGTTACAGCCCGGACCAGGGGACAGCTGGATACTGGCTGGTGGCCAAGGTAGCTACAGTGTCACTTCTGAGATTCAGCCAGATTTGGAGTCGCAGAAGCTAGCTCCCTCTGCCACCAACCAGACAGGAGATGACCAACTTCTCCTGTGACAATGGAGAAAAGGAAGTGAAAGCAAGGGGGACAGCAGGAAGTGTCAGGTGGGAAAGAAACTGGTTAAATATTAGGGACTTGGGAGCAAATCTGAACTTTTGGGGAGACCAGCGTGAGGACCCCAGAACAGCCATGGAGCCAGTGATTGACACATATGGTGCTGGGAGATTTATTTATTTTTAACAATGAGGAGTCAGAGTTGCACTGTCTGATATAATAGCCACGGGTCCCAAGCGGTGTATAAATAAACACTAATTAAAAGTAATAAGTTCAAATACAGTTTTTCAGCGACACTATACAGATTTCAAGGGCTCAGCGGCCATGTGCATTGGACATTGTAGATGTAGACATTGCTCTCACCACAGAGAGTTCTGTCGGCCGACGCTGGTCTAAGGCACAGCTTTTGGAATTGGGTGGACTTTAGTTGGCATCACGCCCAGCTGGGTGGCTTTGGGCAAGTCGCTTGCCCTCTCTGAGCCTCGTTTTTATCCCCTGTGCATGGGCACAATGACATCTATCTGGCATAAGAGGTAGGAGACCATGAGAGAAGGGGGTGACTGCAAACAGAAATTTCAGGCAGCCTGCCTTGGAGACCAGCTCCACCACGTGTTACCCATGTGACCCTGGGCAAGTCATTTACTCTCTTTCTGAGCCTCACCTGTTTGTCTGTAAAATGGGGGCGGATTCCCCTTTCCTCAGTAGGTACGGTGAGGATGGTATAAGATATGGATCACACGGGGTACACAGTGCAGTGCCTGGCTCATGGACAGCCCTCAACAGACGAGATTCGAACTCAGGTCTGCCACTACTAATCCTAATGATGTGTAAGTGGCTTTCCATTGGTCACAGAAGCACTGAATGTCTCTCAAATGTTAGGTATTTTCACACGGGAGTTTCATCCATAATCATTTCCCCTTTGCTGTCTGCCAAGATTCTCCAGCAGCTCAAATCTGAGTAGTCAATCTATAAATGTACCATGGATTTCTGGGGGTTGCAACCACCTTCCCCTCTTCTCTGCATTTGGAAGTTTTTCTTTCTTTTTGAAAAAGAGCAAAATTAGGCTGTGTGTGTAGAAGACATATTTTGGGGTGTCTGCTCAGCATATGAAGCAAAACCTCCCCCTGTTATCTGAGCACTGAGCCCTCACAGATAGGGCTGAGCTCCTGAGGCTCTAATTATACAAAATGTCCCTGCTCCCACCCCAGCCACAGTGGTGAGACCAAGGTTGACACCCGTCTCAGGTGAGACAATTGGATGCCTTCTCCAGGGGTTTCGGAAACAAGGCAGAGGGATTTTGGCTAAGTTGAGCTGTTCCCTCAAACAGCACTGTTGTGGACTTGAAAGTTACAGGACGGTGTCTTTCTCTACATGGAAGAAGAAACACTGAGCGCCCATCTGCAGAGAGACACACACAGAGGGAACTGTGATTCCATGTTCCTGGAGGAGGAGACGACAAGGGTGAGGGATGGGAGGCTGAGAAAGGCGGTGAGAACCTGCCCTGGCCCCAGCACTCCTGCCGTTGGTGGTAGGTGCCAAAAATGGCCATGGATTCTTCTGCTCTCATCAAGTGGTGCAATCGATTTCCCTACCCCTTGAATCTGGGCTGGCCATGTGACTTGCTTTGGCCAATAAAATGTGGCAGAAGTTATGATGTGTCGATTCTTAACCTTAGCCCTAAGAGGCATTGTCCCTTCTGCTCTCACTCTTGGAATCCTGCCTCTGTCATGTGAACAAACTTGGGTCTGCGTCCTGGAAAATGAGAGATGAAGAGAGGCCAGCTGAGACTGTCTTAGTCCAGACAGCCTTTAGGCAACCTGCCAATGGGCCACGATGCATGAGTGAGCCCAGCAGAGACCAGAATGGCCCAGCTGAGCCCAGCCCAAGTTAAGAACCCACAAAATTGGAAGCTAAATAAATGTCCGTTGTTAGGTTTTTTTTTTTTTTTGGTGGGGTTGTTTGTTACACAGCAAGCGCTAACTGATACACCCTTGGATTTACAGAGATCTTCCTGGATCCTTATATTAAAATTTTCCTTTTGTTTATTATTGAGCCATCTAAACAAGCAGTGTATATTTCATTAAATGTGTGGGCTATAAGCAAATTTCTTTTGCTTATAGCCCACACATTTAATGAAATATACACTGCTTGTTTAGGTGGCTTCCAGGAATTGGGTGAGATGGGCAGATAGGGTGTTGGCAGCCAGCGAGAGGAAATAAAAGCAGTCCCCGTGGCTCTCAACAAGATGGGAACAGCCCACAGACAAATGGTCAGGAAAACAGGAGGGCTTCATTATGTCCCTGGCCTCAGGGTTCTCTCTCTGCCCTTAATGGCATCACCTCTTAGACTGACAGACAGGTGCCCCCACTTCAGCTGCATATCCGTATTCTTTGCCTCTCCGTCCTACAATGGAAGACAGAGAAATTAATAATCATAATGATATAATAATACCTGTGGCTGACATCTATCGAAGGCTCACCATGTGCCAGGTGCTATTTACAGCGATTTTCTCCCACCAGCTGTAACCTGCACACCTACCCTTTGAGGTCAGTATTACCATGATCCCTATTTTACAGACGGGGCATAGAGTGGTTAAAGGACTCACCCAAAGTCCCATAAGCCAGTGTATGGCAGAGTGGGGATGAACCTAAGTAGCCTCATTTCGGGGTCCATGGCCTTAACTGCAAACGACAGGGATCTCTCTTGGCCCTTGGTGGGTGTGGCAGACATGTGTGGGGCTCCTGCTAGGAGGTTCACAACAGCCACGCTTGTCCCCATGACCTCATCTCCAAGGTCGCAGCTGATTGGATGAGGCTGGCTCCTTCTGGTGGACATCAGCATTTTTCCACTGTCTGTGCTGAGATGGTGCGGAAGACAGGAAGTGACCTTTCCTGCCCCCTCTTGGAGGCAGGTACTGGTCGGGGGGGTCTGGCGAGGATTTCACTCCAGCCTGATTTCTTACCCTTCCTCTCTAAGAACAGGTTTTGAAATTAGATCTGGTTTTGATTCAGCCATTTGTCAGCTGTGTGTCCCTGGGCAAGTTGATGAGCTTCTCTGAACTTTGGTTCTACTCGTTTAGAAAATGAGGACAAGAACAGGACCCATCCTAGAGAGCTGTCATGACTTGAAGGCTCCCGGGGCTTACAGAGGTCCCAGGAAATGCCAGTAATGAAGACGATGCGGTGATCCAGAGAGCAGGTTGGCTCTCCCCTCCCCCTGGAAGGTTCTACACAGGACTTGCCGACTAGAGACCTGGCTCTGTCCCTCTCAGCTGCCCCCCGCCCCTCAAGTCTTTCCAAACCATTTCGATTTGCAGATTTCCCTTCCCCAGTTTTTAAGCTTCAAAGGCTCATATCGTTAACAGCTGAAAAGAGGCAGTGTAGGCTAAAGGCTAGAACTAGGAGTAGGGTTCTGGGTTCGAATCTCTCCTTCCCAGCTGTGGGCTCTGGGGCCATTCACTTCTCTCTGAACCTTAGTTTTCTCCTTGACAAAAATAAGACCTTCATCCCAACCCCACCTCCCTACCTTGTCGAGCTCTTGTGGAGATTAAACAGAATAATGTTTATCAGGCACAGAATAGACACTCTAGACGTGGCAAGATATACTATTATTATATTATAATAATATAATGTGAGATTATATTATAATAATATAATGTGAGATTATATTATAATAATATAATGTGAGATTACATTATTATAGTATTATAACAATAGCTAGCACATCTAGGATGAAAATATAAGTCAGCTGTAAGTCAGATCCTGTCCCTCCTCTGCTCTAACCCACATGGTCCCCATCTTACTCAGAATGAAAGTCGAGTCCTTACACGACCCAGAAGACCTTACACTGCCTGTCACTCACCCCCTTCCCTCTCTGATCTCACGTCACCTTTGTGCCGTTCCTCACGCCACTCCAGCCACACTGGCCTCCTTGTTATTCTTCGAACACGCCAGGCAAGTCCCACCTCAGCGCCTATGCACTCGCTGTCCCCCTGCTAGGCGTGCCTTTCCCCACATACCCACTGCCTCCCTCCCTTCTTTCCTTTGCTCAATATCTTTGCCAAAGTGTCACTTTTTCTGGGAGGCCTTTGCTGATTTAGTTAAATCGTGGCCCATCCCCTGGCCCCCTCCCAGCCTTCTTCCCCTCCTTAGTACTCACTGATCATCCAACATACTATTTATAGTTCACTCGGTCATCACATAATTTTTAGCTTCTGTGACTGGAACTCAAGTTCATGAGGGCAGGGACTCCCCACTGTTAACTTCCAAGTTATCCCAAGTGCCTGGCACACAGTGGGCCCTCGACAGATATGCGTAGAAGGAATGAGTATGGCATTTAGCGTATCTCAGGCAGGGCTTTAAATGCTTTAGAAATAATTGCTCGTTCGATCCTCACAACAGCCCCGTGAGGCGGGCGCTATTATGATCATCCCCATTTGGCAGGTGGGCAAACCGAGGCGCAGAGAGGGGAAGTGACTTGTCCATAATGGAGCTGGGATTTGCTCACTCCTGTCTCTTTGTTCTCCTGGGGTCACTGTACACACTGACGAGGTAGATGGATGGGCAGAGCAGGGGTCAAAGCCATCTTCTCTGAATGAGCCTGAAGCTCCTTGGGATAAGGCTGTTGGTTTGGCTTCTGTCTTGGTGCAGAGAGAGCTCTGTGCCTCATGGGCACTGAGTAGATGTCAGTCAGTGGACGGGGGTGAAGGGCACAAGGCGCCTTTGGCTCTGGATGATGGTGAAGCCCATGCCTGCGATCACTATCAGGATCCCCAGGTTTCCAGCTATGACGAGGGCGATGGCAGATCTTCCCGATAGAGAGAAAATGGGGTTCGGCTCAATAGGCTCAGCATCTGTGGGATCCACGTTGCCTTCTGTGGACCAAGAAGGAGTAAGACTGGAGGAGCCACCGCCCTGCACACCCTCCGCTCCCGCCATTCCGCATCCCAAACGCCTCTTCTGTCCATCCCCAACCTCTGGATCTGCACCTGGGCCCCGTTCCTGTTCTCCTGCCCCAGCCTCTCCCCTACCCATCCCCCCCATACGGAAGTCAGAGGGGTCTCTCTAGAGCTCAAACTTGGCCCTGTTCCTCCTCTGCTCAGAACCTTGCTGTGGCTCCCTCACCTTGGCCCATAAGGCCCTGCCACCTGGCCGGCCTCATCTCTCCTCACCCCACTTTTGTAACTCAGCCCCATGGGACTCTATACAATGTTCTAAGCTCACCTCTCTCTCTCCTACTTCCAGGACTTTCTCTGTGCCCCTGGAATGCCTGGAATGCCATTTTCTCCCCCTCGGCCTAGATATTTCCTATGCATCCTAGAACTAGCTCAGATGTCCTTTCCTCCAGGAAGCCGTCCTTGACTGCCTTGCTGGGTCAGGCGCCCCCTTGGGTCCCGCAGCCCTCTGGGCTCCCCCACCCCAGTCATTACTGTTTGTGGACAGGTCTGTCCCCCACTAGACTGGGAGTCCGGTGGGGGCAGGCCTGGGGCTGTCTTCCTCATCAGAGTGTCCTCAGCACTGCCCAGCATGGGCTGGTCACACAGTCTGTGCTCAATAAACATTTCCTGAAGAGCTGATGAATGAGTGAAGGGGCTCTTGGAAGTATCGTCATTCTTAATGAACATATCAGGGTCACCAGGTTCTACAAGATTAAACATATTTTTCTCCCAGTGAATGATCCCAAAACCAAATCCTGAAGCTGTCACTGATTGGGCCCTGACCAGGGAGAGGAGTCGGCTCTCTGGGACCTGGCCAAGCCAGGCTTTTCATCATCCTGTCCTTCCCATGCTTTGGATGTTTTGTCTGCTGTCCAATGACCTCCCCTACTTCTCTACTGGCCCTTCTAGCCCACTCTAAGCCACTTGCCCTCCATGACAACAAAATTATATTCGTGATGTAATTCCTCTTACTTGAAGTACCTGCTGCTAACAGGTATGCTGCCAGCCTCATATATGCACTATTTCAATTCCTTTTAACAATCCTGCAGAGGCATACACGATCACCCCTGTTATATCCAGAGAAGGGAAGTCACTTGTCCTAAGTCACCTGTCCAGGAAGGCACAAGGGTAGGAATTGAAATCGGCTTCCACCAGCTCCCAAAATATTTTTCTTATTCCTACGATTGCCTGTTCCTGTTATTGCTGCCCAGAGCTCCATGGATGCTACTGCCCACGGTAACCATCACAAAATTCATAATATCGATGATGCTGATTGTAGCAATGATGCCGACTAGCTCTTGTTTACTCACTAATGTTCAGCAGTGCAAGGCACTCTTACTTTGAGCTGTTCACCTGCTTATCTCATTGATAACTACACTTTGGGTGGCACTATTATTTTCCCAATTTTACAGATGAGGAAACCGAGGCACAGAATAGTCGAGGTACCGGTCCAAAGTCACACAGCCAGGAAGTAGTGGAGCCAGAATTCAAAATGCAAAGCCCAAGCTCAGAACCACTTGTGATGTTATCACCTGCATTTTTTCACAGGCATGTGCCGAGGCTCAGAGAGAGGGCAGGGGCTTCCCAAGTTCACACGGCCAACAACTGGTTGGAGCTGGGACACAGGCAGTGATGTTATCACCTGCATTTTTTCACAGGCATGTGCCCGAGGCTCAGGCTCAGGCTTCCCAAGTTCACACGGCCAGCAACTGGTTGGAGCTGGGACACAGGCAGCAGGCTCCAGACCCTGAGCTAAGTTTTCATGAGAGTTCATCTCTTTGAGTTGCAGCCTCTCATCTGTAAAATGGGCTTATAATGCCCATTCTGCCACGTGGAGGGAAGATTGGGATGACATCTTGGTCATAAAGGGGCTCAGGGAGACCACTCTAGAAGATGGCTCGATGGAACCAGGAAAGTTGGCCAGTGACCAACGAGGGTATAGGGTCTGGGGTGGGGGAGAGGGACTCACGCGACAGTGAGATGGTCACAGACTTGGAGGAATGCTCTTCCTGGCTGTTCTTGGCCGTGCACGTGTAGGTCCCCAGGTGCTGCCAGGACAATTTCCGGATGATCAGCATCGACCCGGTCCCACAGGGCTGCCCGTTGAGGGTCCAGTGCAGCACGGGGTTGGGGCTGACTGCAGTCAGACACTTCAAGACCACTGAGTAGTTGAGGTCACTCTGGATGACACCCTGGATAGTCTCTGGAAATGTCGGTAGCAACACCGGGTCACGGCTGGCTGTGTGAACAGGGAGCAAGGCCATATGCGTGGAGACCACTCAGAGAAGCTGAGCACTTCTTTGGCCCACCACAGAGACAGTCATTCATTCATTCGTTCACCAACAAATGTGCTTGGAGTGCCTGGTCTGTGCCCAACACTGAGTGTGGCAGACCTGTTGGTGTCCCCACCCCAGACCCTCATCCTCACCACTTCCAACTGCCAGCAGTGTATCTGTTGCTTAAGGGCTTTCGCTGGTGGCCAGAGCCCATTTGCCCATGGAGGCAGCAGGCCAGCATGCTGGGGAATTGGCACACCGTGGGTGGCTTGATGACTGACATGGTGAAGTGTATAAATACCCCAGCTGGACCAGGGTCAGGCCGAGAAGCTGGGAGGAGTGGCTGGCTTCTAGATTATTTTTGAAGGCAGAGCCCTCAGGATTTGCTGATGGACTGGCTGTGAGTGGGAGAGAAAGAGAGGAATCAAGGGAGCCTCCACAGCTTGGGGCTTGAGCCACTGGCTGCTAGGGGGGTGCTCTTTACAGAGACGGGGGGGCATACATAATCCTCACCATGGTCCTCTTCCCATGTTTTTCTTCAGCTGAAAAATTCTGAAGGCTCGGGGTTCTTAGGGTCAGATCTCAAGGTCACAGAGAGCACAGCTGGGGTTTGAACCTGAGGAGTGTGATGTCATGGCAAGTGCTAGGAACCTTCACACTGAGCTGGTTTCCGATCTTAGTGCAATATGATAAGTGAAAAGAACTTTAGCCCAGCCAGAGAGCTCACGGAAGGCTTCCTGGAGGAGGTGGTACTTGAGCTACGCCTTGCAAGAAGAGAAAGAGTCCACCAGGTGTAGAAACAAGAAACAAGAAACAACAGCCACGTAGACAAGGCTCTTATTGTGAGCCTCTGTTCTAAACACACGTTAACTTATAGCTCGTCATGCTGCGAGGGAGACCCGCACTGAGGGAAATCATTTAGTAGGTTTAGTAATCGGTATTTAAAACATGAAATGAAATATAATAGAAAATGACAGAATTTATTACTCAAAGAGATATTTGCTATTCCATGACGCTTATTTTTAGTTACTTATGATGTGTGTATATACGCACATGAATATAGGCCATGATGTGAAATGCATTTCTTACCATGGGTCATGATTGAAAAAGCTCGGAAAAGCACTGGATTTATTCATTTAGTCCTAGGGACTACTACAAGGTAGAGCTTATTATTGTTATCCCCATTTTGGTGGGAAAATGAAGGCTCAAAGAGGTCAAGTCCCTTGAAATACTCACAGCTAACATCCGCTTACCCTGTGACAGGCACTGTGCTAGGCATTTGACATGGGTGAACTCAATTTGCTCCTCATAACTATCCGGTGAGGTAGGTTCTACTATCCTGTGAGGTAGGTTCTACAATCTGACTAGTGTTCTTATAAAAAGAGAAGATTAGGACACACACCCCACTGTGCTAGGCATTTGACATGGGTGAACTCAATTTCCTCCTCATAACTATCCTGTGAGGTAGGTTCTACTGTGATCCCTGTTTTACAGACGAAGACACTGAAGCACACAGACACGAGGTCCTGGTAAGTGGTGGAACAGTGGTTTGAACGCAGGTCCTTGGGGTTTTGAAGCCTGCACAAGCTCCAGGCTGAGAATCGCACAGGCAAAGGTGTGGAGGTGGGCCTTTAGAAGAAGAATTAGCTTTCAGATCGTCGAAATGCAGATTGATGGAACTCAGCAGCCCTTTAATTTTCTGGTGGGGGTAAATATCCCCCAGTACAAAAGTGGGGTTCTAACCCCCCCTTTTCAACTTTGCATTGTACCATAGAGACGTTGCTGGGCTAGAGAGGCAGTGTGTGTGGAATCTTAAGGATCATAGAGTGCTGGAGAATCCCAGCTTGGCCCTCTGCTTCTATGTTACCACAGGGTATTGAGGTTGTTTCTCTGAGCCTCAGTTTCCCCACCTGTGCAATGGGATTGGTGCTCAGAGCATTTGCTTTCTCAGGTTGTGAAATCTCCCAGTGTTTGGTACATAGTGAGCGCTCAGTAAATTGGAGCCATTCACTTGTGCTCCCTGGTGTTTACTCTGGCTGGCCTGTCTGCAGGACCGCGTTTCCCCACTCTTCGCCTGGCAAACTCCTGCTCAGCCTACAAGCCCCAGCTCAGATAGCCCTTCCTCTGGGAAGCCCTACCTGGTCCCTCAGTGGGTCAGATATCTTCTTGGGTTCTCACATCTCCCTGGCTGTGATGCCAGCACCAGCCAGGACAGAGAAGGCACTAAAAAAAGCATTGGATGCACACATAACAATCAGCATCGACGAATGTTTTGTTGAATAGGAGTCTAAGGTTCTTCCTGAGGCCTACGAGGCCTTGCACGTCTACTGACCCCCAGCTCTACCTGCCTCCCTTAGCCACACTTAAAAGTCAATGGCCTCACATGGCCCACACCCTCTACACTGCTCTATTCTAAGTTTCTCATACTCACCAAGCTATCTCTTAGCCCTCCAGCCCTTGTCCATTCTGTTCTCACTGGCCGGAACAACCTTCCACGTCATCTTTATTGTCTACCTTCCCTTCTCTTCAGATAGCGTTTTAAATGTTACTTCTTCAGGGAAGCTGTCTCTGACCCTGCCCTTAGGATTATTCATTTCATGTCTGTCTGCCCTGATAGACTGGGAATTCTACGGTGGGAGAAACCAACTCTGCCATTCCCTGATGAATTCACCCTTCTCTGGAAAGTAGTGATGTTGGCAATTCGGATATTCCACAGAGAAGCAGTAAAGTAATTCTTTGCTGTTTTTTTTTTTTTTTTTTTTTTTTAACGCCTACAGCACCTGGTCTTCCTAGGTGGTCTCCCATTCAAGTACTAACCTAGCTTCTGAGATCAGACGAGATCGGGCGCGTTCAGCGTGGCATGGCTGTAGACAGTAAAGTAATTCTTTAAAGCGAAAATGTATGTACAGGAAAAAGCAAGGTATATATAGAGTTTGCAGTTTCCACTGAGGGTCTTGGAACATATCCCCCATGGATAAAGGGGGCTACTGTAATATGGTCTCTGTTATGAATTGAATTGTATCCCCTCCAAATTTATATGTTGAAGCCCTAGCCCCCAAGTACCTCAGAATGTGACTATATATATGGCGACAGGGCCTTGAAAGAGATAACTAAGGTAAAATCATGCCGTTAGGGTGAGCTCTAATATGATCTGACTAGTGTTCTTATAAAAAGAGATTAGGACACACAGAAAGCCAACAGGAGTGTGCACACAAAGGAAAGACCGTGTGAGGACACAGTGAGAAGAAGTCCATCGGCAGGCCAAGGAGACAGGTCTCAGACGAAACCAAACGTGCTGACACCTTGACCTTGGACTTCCGGCCTCCGGAACTATGAGAAATAAATTTCTGTTGTTTAAGCCATCTGGTCTATGGTATTATGTTATGGCAGCCCTAACAGACAAATACAGTCTCTAAACTACCTTTTCGGGAGGATAGGTCTGGTTAATTTCAGGGCTTTGTTTTTCTGGTTTGGGTATGAAAGTTCAAGTCCAAAGCTGAATAGCTCATAAAAACAGAGGCGAGTTTGAAGTCTGCCAACAGAGACTTCTGCCCTTCCCCAAGCGATGATGAACAAACATTTAATGAATATCTGTTGGAAAGTGTGACAGATGACAAAAAATAGATAGCAACGTGCAACTCCTCTCTTCAAGAGGTGAAGCCTACTTCCCTCCCATTGAAGCTGGACCAGTCACGTGACTTGCTTTGACCAATAAAACATGGCAGAAGTGATGGCACGCCAGTTCTGAGCCCGGGGCTCCTCCATTGCTGACTGAACAAGCCCAAGTTAGCTTGCTGGAGGATGAGAGGCTGTGTGGCCCCAGCTGCCAGCCACGTCACTGCCAGACATATGAAGGAGGCTACCCCGGACTGGTGCCCAGGAACTCCCTGGCTGACCACAGACTTGTGAATGAGATCAGGAGAACTGTTTAGCAGAATCATGAGCTAAAGAAATGGTTGCTATTTTAAGTTTTAGGGGGGTTTTTAGGGAGCAATTGATTACTGGCACTGAATGGGCCCTGACGGGCCCTGCCGACCGAGAATTCAGTCCCTCCTGCTGTGGAGCCCCACTCACGCTCGACGTGCATCTGCCCTGTCGCACTTCTGCATCCCTCGATGGTTTCCAGCACCACTGTATAGTTGTCCGAGTCTAGAGCTGTCACATTTCTGATGACCAGGCTGCCGTGTGTGCCCAGTGCCTCTCGCCCAGTATGGCCAGGCCCTGGGAGGCCCTCAGGGGAGAAGATCATGGTTTCTGGCCGGGCCTCGTGTCCTCGGAACCAAGAAATAGAGAGAACACCATCAGGGCTGCTGAGTACAAGAAGGTGAGCACTGGCTCCCTCGGCCAAGAATCCCAGAGACGCAGAGGAGGACCGCTCCGAGGAGGCAGAGCAGGTGCAGGATGCGAGCAGGGTGCCTGGAGGAGATGGAGCGGGAGAGGAGAGAAGAGGGGATCCAGCGGGACCAAAGGTGAGATGCTGCCCCAAGTAACCCTTCCTGAGCTGGCGAGAATGAGTGTGGCACATTTGAGAGTTGATGGTGACTAGTTATCACGATAAAAATATTGTAGAAATGAAAAGGAACATTCGTTGAGTACCTCCTACCAGCCAGACTCTGTTCTAAGCTCTGAACATGTGTTCTCTCACTCATCTGTTATACTAACCCCACGAAGCATCGATGAGGCTGGATGTGCTCAGGTCCACTCTCCTTTCTGCTCTGCTCCTTGACGGGCTGATTTCTCTGAGCTGCATCATTGGGGTCCCCTCGCCTCTTGCTTCTGGGTGGCTTCTGCCAATGGGAGTAACCTTGAGGTTACTGGTCCCACAGCTCTCTCCCTGCGCCACCAGAATGGGTCGGCTGTGTCCCCCTACTGAAGTTTCTATTGAGCGATCGTCTCCATATACCACTATCCTTCGGTTTGGGGGCCCGCTCTGCGTCTTACAGCTTCCAGTCCAGGGGAGGTATCAGCTTCCTGCCCCTGGGTGATGCACAGTCCCATGTCACTCTACTTATACCCCCCCTACCCCTTTGTAAATAGTCTTTTTATCAAACCTTTCTTATTATTTATTTCGAGTAGACCATCTGCTTCTTGCCCCAACCCTGACCGATACAACTATCCTACCCCTGTGAGAGATGAAGGAATAAAGATTCAGAGAATTTACGACATTTTGGGGGGACGTCATAGGTGGTAAACAGCAGAGCTGTGATCCACACCCAGGCAGATGAAATTCTCAGCCACTGAACTATATGTTGGGTGTGCCCTCTGCCTCCAGTTTCTCTCACTTCCTCTCATTAAATGTCCATATTGCTTAGGGCTTGGAGTCGAAACCTTGGAGTCTGGCTCCAGCCTATACACACTCACACACTCCACTCTTCTGCCTCTCACTGGAATGGTGGCTGATGTGGTAAGAACACAAGCTCTAGCCATAAAAGACTGAAAAAATTGACATAAACATAAAAAGAAATTTTGGCAAAGGTTGAAAAAACCCCACGACCCGCAAAGTCAAAAGAACAGTGACGTACCAGAAATATGATTTGCAACTGATATCATAGACAAAAACTCATATCACTAATATATAGACCACTTAGTATCAATAGGAAAAATATCAGCAACCTAACAGAAAAATATGCAAAAGATATAGGTAGGCAGTTCCTATAAAAGAAAATTCAAATGTCTCTTGACATAGGGAAAATGTTCAGTGTACTCAGAGCAAGAAAAATGGAAAGTAAAACAAACTGAGATAATAATTCCTGCCTATTGGATTGGCAGGTGATCCAGAAGCTTGATGACTTGCTGTGTCGGAAGCTGAAGGAGGAGGGAACTCTCACACGTGGCTGGTACAGCCCCACGTGGAGGGCATTCTGGCAAAGTCTTTCAAGATTAAAAATTCCCATATCTAATGTTTGTACAGTGCTTAGAACGGTGTACTAACAGGATGACTGCCAGACACATGCTTGACAGTATAATTATAGTTCCCATCATTATTCTGATTCTTGCCTTCACAACCACAAGCACTGGATGTACTGCAAATATGCCTTTTAAAGACAAAAAAAGCAATGTAATAAGTGGTTACATTTTAAGGATCAGAAATACCCACTTACGGAACAAACGTTAAAACATCTGGTTTCCTCTTGGTAAATGAATGACAGTAGCGGCCAGGGATAATGACTCCCAGGGCAGGCGGCATCGGATACAAGTGTGCTGGCCGAATGCCAGGGACTGCGCCAAACTCTCCCAACCATTACCTCACTGAGCCCTTCAACAACTCTGAGGTTGATTCTAGTCTGTTTCATAGTCAGGGAAACGGAGACACAGTAAGCTTGAGTCTCAGACCCGAGATCGTAAGTGGATGGCTGGGAGTTGTCCCACCATAAGGTCTTCTGGGGGACTCTCACTTCCTACTTTCATTGATTTTATCTCTGAGCTGACAGCTGGTGTGACTTTTCGACTCCCCTCCTCCTAAACCTTCCATGGCTCCCCAGTGCCCTCAGGACACAGAGCTGACTCCTTCATCTGGGGCCTGCGCTACATCTCAGTGCTCTTCGCTCGCTCTCTACGTCAGTCAGACCGAACTCCACGCAGTGCTCTGGCCTCTAGACCTTCGTCCACGCTGTTCCCCCTACCTAGAATGCTGTTCTCTCTCTTTTTCCAGCTGTGATTCAAGTTTCAGCTCTGGCATCCCCTCTCCTGAGGTCTTCCCTGCCCCTCAGGTGTGCTCGGTAATAGAAAACACAATGTTTGGGCAGGAACACAAACTGACTTGATGGGGTGAGGGAAGCTCTTGTCACAAAGTGACAAGAGTAAAAGTTTATACCCGAGTACCTGCTCAAGGCTTTGCTTTCCTATCTTGATGGAAAAAATTTGCACTCTTATGCTTTTATGCAACAAAGAGCACAGGGATGCAATTTGCATAACTGATGTCATACCCTTCTGAGGCCCTATTTTGATTTTGACAACTTCGATAGGTCCTCTCCTGGCCACCATATTCAGACCTGAGCCCTCCGGGTCTCCCTCCCCCACCCCATTTCTGCACCATGGACTCTGAGTCCTCACTGTCTGGGACAGGAGTGTTTTCCTTCTAGACTGTGAGCCCCAGGAGAGCAGGCCTGGGCCTGTCTTGCTCACCTGTGTGTCCCCAGGACCACCCGGCACAGGCTGGGTGCAGAGCAGTGTTTATTAAATAAATGACCAAAGGGGCAGATTCCAGGTCTGGAGTCCTCATTCCAAGATCAAATTCTGACTCTGACTCAGCCGCAGGTACCTGGTAAATCAGGGAGTGTCTCCAAGCCAAAGGGGCAGATTCCAGGTCTGGAGTCCTCATTCAAGATCAAATTCTGACTCTGACACAGCCGCAGGTACCTGGTAAATCAGGGAGTGTCCCCAAGACATTTTTTTTTTTAATGCCTACAGCACCTGGTCTTCCTAGGTGGTCTCTCATCCAAGTACTAACCAGGCCCAACCCTGCTTAGCTTCCAAGATCAGACGAGATCAGGAATGTTCAGGGTGGCATGGCCATAAACATCCCAAGACATCTTAAGAAGAAGACCTGACATCTTAGCAGCCCTTACTCCAGCTGACGTAGAATCCTGGTTTCATTTGTAGACTCTGAGGTTGCTAGGCCTGGGTGCATAACCCTGACTCTGCCACTTATTATTTCTGGGTGCTGAGCCTTAGTTTCTCCACTTATCAAGGAGGGGTTGACAGTAACCATTTCCCAGGAGTGTCTGAGATTCAATGAGATTATGAATTTTCAGGGCTAAGGACAGTCTAACTGGTATTTCATACATAAACTAAACTATATTAATAAATTAAATATTAATAAATTTATAGTAATTCTGTATTAGAGTAGAATTATATATATGTTATTTTAATTGCATAATAAGTAATTATATATAATTATATATCATATGAATTATATAACAGAATTATGTCACAATATAACTATAATTACATATTTATATGTAGTAATATTATAATTACATATCAAATTTATAATTTAATAACAAACATACAAAATATGAATAAATAAAACATAAATTATATTACTAAATATAAATGTTTTGTATACTTAAAATGTATTATTTATATACTTATATAAATATACATAGTTAAGCATGCCAGATGAAGGATGGAATTTCAGAGCTAGAACCATAGAGGTGATTCCAGAACTCTTACTTTACAGGACCGTGATTATCTTACTTCATCTTTAATCGTCAACCAAATGAGAAAAAGTTTCTATTCGATTTTTCCCGGTTTTAGTCCAAGGACACTCGCTGTCACTGTGCGTGTGTGTGTGTGTGTGTGTGTGTGTGTGTGTGTATGGAGAGAGATGGATATATTTATATATATTCATTCTAGAATGTTGAACTTGACTCCTCCCATTGTTTCAATATCTCCACAGAGGTCCAAGAGGTTGAAAACAAAACAGCAGATGCTAAGGACCCCATATTCCCAGCCGAGCTCCCGCACACAGGCCTTCCCTGTCACTGGTCGTGCCAAGCCCGGAGGGGAAGGCCAGG